AACTGACCAGACCCACGTAGGCCACACCCATGCCACCAGGCCTAGAGTGACATGGTTTTGTAGTTTGCACCCTGTAGACGGACCAGACGACCCAGATTAAAACTTCTTTTTTTCACTTTTATCAAAAATTTCAAGTTGGTTTTACTTTTGACAAATTAGTTTTAATTTCGTATTAGGATTTCAAATATGCAAAAGCAGCAACCTGCAACAATCAGATGTTGTATCGAGACTGCAAACATAAAAGTTTGAGATTTTGAGTGGCAATTGGCGAATAGGTAATTTTTTTTTAATATATGTTGAGTTTTACTAGTTTTTTTATTATAATATATGTTAGAATGCTATGCTAGTGCTTTAATTAATATATAATATGTTGGAATGAAAAAGGGCACATTTTGAGCCTTAGCCTTGGCCCTGGGCATAAGCTTGGCAAATGGGTCGTGTCTGTCGTGTTCGTGTCGTTTTCGTATAACACCTGTTATCTTAACGGGTCATGTCATGTCACACTCATTATAAAGTGACCCGACCCGTTAAGAAAAATATATTTTTTTCTTAAATTTGCACATACCACACATTGCCACTTAAATATTACTTTAAAACATTAAAACACATTTGTCGTTTAAGTACTACATCTACACTCGAAAATAAGAGCCTAGTAAAAAAAACATCCATACACTACAAGTCTATTACAAAATATTAAATGTGCAAGGATATGCAAAATGTAAGAGTTTTTGTTTTCAAGGTTGTGAAGCTTTTCTCAAAAGTTTAAACCTTGCAAGTTGAACTCAAAGCTTGCATGTTATTCCTTTTACAAAATCCTCAATTTTCATCGATCATCAAGAGGAAATTGTATTGGAACTTTTGTTTGATCTATTGCCTTCAAGAGTTATGTTGATGATGTTTTCAGTAAGGTTTTCCACGTCAGAACTCTTTTCCGCATAAACTAAGTACAGAAAAACCAAACATTAAAAACCATTCAAATTATGAGGAGTTTACCAAAATAGTTATGAAAAGAAATAAAACAATAGTACTATACCATATAAAAATATATTAGCCTCCAACCTAATGCACAATGGACGGCTGAGATTAAATCTCAGCCGATCCAATGGTCACCAATTTTTAAATTTTAATTTAATATATATATATATAATTATTATAGTTTTTAAGGGTATAAAATTGTTAAATTAATATATATATATATATAAAATTATTATAGTATTTTTTTAGGGTTATAAAATTATAAAATTAATATTTTGCTTATCGTGTATCGTGTTACCCACGTGTATACCCGAACCAACCCATTATCTTAACAGGTGCTTATCGGGTTACCCGATAACAACTCGATTCGTTATCGTGTCGACCCGAACACCTGTTAATTTCGTGTCGTGTCATGTCGGGTTATCGGGTTGTGTCAAGAATTGTCAGGCCTACCTGGGCACCTGAAAACTTAGGACTGGCCCTGTGTATATATATGGGTGGGGAGAAATGACATAATGTAGGTCTTTGTCGGAAAAATTCGACCGGATTGTAGCACGGCTAGCCCTTGTTGTAGGACCTTTGAAATTTTCTCAAAGATGCTGAATCTATCAAAGGAATAGTTCTTGTGAGGGGAAGGGTCATGAGTTCCAAAGGTAGCATCCCGACGGGTTGGGGATGTGGATGCAAATTTTCGCCTTCTTCTTCTTGGACAAAATCGCACCTACAAAACAATTTACAACATAGGTCAAGGCCAAGAGCCTCACGCGCCCACGATGAATGGGGGGCTTTGGCCCAAAAACGTCCGATGCCAAAGTTAGAATTTAGAGAGAAAAGTATTTGGAGAGTTTTTGGGAGTTTTGCAAAAGTGTAGACCTAGCTTTTTAGAGAAAATGGAGTCCTATTTATAGAGCATGACTGGCCCTATTTAGAAGAAAGAGCGGCCAACCCTTAGGTGTTTTTGGGGGTGTAATGGATGATTTAATTGGTGATTAATGGATTAATTAGCAATTAATCCATTAATTAGCCAATTAACCTCCACTTAAATGGAATGTTATGTAGGTTATAAAATAATTACCTAAGATGAGGATGGATGAGAATATCTTTGAATTTGTTACCTATTTTGGACACTTTTGACTTGATTGACGGATGATTGTCCGCTGCTCGTGCGCAGGAATCCCGGTATGCCTCAAGGGTATTTTTTTCCTCTTTTACCCAAAAATCTACGTGTTGCCTTGTAATTATTTTTGGCTCCACAAATGCCCCCACACCTGTTGGGCTGCTCATCGGAAATGGCAGTATGTGTAGAGATCTTCTTGCTTTATGAAACATAGGACTGCTTCCTTTTTTGATGTAAATTCCCTCTTTAATAGGAAATTAGATCTGTCTAGGAAAGGGAAATAAATTTCTCTCAAAGCCTATTTAAGTCCACCTTAAGTGGGTTATTAAATCAACTTTGGAGAGCGATTTACTCAACCCTACAAGAGAGAGAGAGCTTAGAGGATATTCGTTCCCCCCTCTCTAGCAATCTTCTACATCTTGCTCCTGCAAATGACCGTCTTTTGTTGATTTCTTCGTCTTTTCCGTGCCGCACCGATATAAGAAAAATTTAATTTTTCTTGTCTTCTTCTTGGACAATGCTATCGCGGGGCAGCCGTCGGGGTGGTGCAGCACATCTGCTGGCAGGGGCCAGGAGTCAGCTCGGCATGGGCCGATGAGGTGTTGTGGCAGGGACCACTGCTTTAGGCTGCTCAACTTGGCTAGAGCCATGGGCAGCTTGTGCGGTTGGGACAGCAAATTGAAGCGCTAAAATGTAGTGCTAGGTAATGGACAGTTAGCTTAAAGTATTTTTCTTCCTATACAATAGGTAGTTACTAAATTATATCGGTTTTGTAGGTAAACATCATTAGGTGGTTACTGGATAATATTTTAGTTTGAGTATTTAAATATTCAAAATTAAAAACTGAATAAATGAGAAAAAAATTAAAGAATTTAAATATTTTTATCTAAAAGGGCAAAATTGGTATAAAAATATGTAATTGGATAACTAGACTTAGTTCAAAAACTACCTATGTTTTTGGACCTAGATCGAAAAGCCCCTTAAATTAAATGGGTACATGGATACCTGTGGGTAATACTCATACCCGATGGATACCCGTTATAACCGTGGGTAATACCCATAACTGCCCATTTAAATTTAACGGATAAACGATTATATCCATAACCGTTTGTTCGTCTAAACGGGTACCCATAATCGTAACCGTGAACTTTAAATGGCCAGGTAACCGCAATTACCCAAACCCATGAGTATTTTGCCTATCCCTAGCGGCAACCATACCATTTTTTGGAAACTTGTGTGTTGTTGTAAAGCATGGTGTTACCTTGGCTTGCTCTTGCCAAGGTGGATATTATTGGTGTAAAAGGTTGGTTCGATACAAGCCAAGATGGATATGAAAAGAGTCCCACATTACAATAATCTAAGGTTTAAATATAAGTGTTTTCCTTCTATTTGCACTGGGGCCTTTTAAGAAAAACTCTGCACCCGAGGTCCATTGGGTTTTGATACCACCTAGGGGATTGGGGCCTGTGTGGTTAAGTGAGGATTAATGTACTAGCTCATTTGTAAAATATGGTTTTGAGCTTGAAACATCTACTTGTTTGTTTCCAGTGAAATGATCATTATCTTGCATTTATGTTATTACTAGCTCACTCCGAGTGCTAACCACACCCACAAAAATTAGTCCCATAAATTATGCAACCATTTCCGATTCACATAGGATAAGTAGAACAATACCTTTGGTAGAAGATAGCCTCCGATTTCGACTTCTCTAGATGTTTCTCTTGCAACTAATGGGGAAACCAGGCAAAACCTCATTGCCTCTTTAATAACCAGCATTTGAAAAATCAATACGAAAGCATGAATATCAAGTAAATTAAGCACTTGGAATTTCAAATCTTTTACAAAAGTCTACACTAATTTGGAATTCAGAACATATGCCTGATCAATATATGGAGATTTGTGTTGAAGACTATGAGCAGTAGGCATCTGATCAGGAGGTCCAAATCCATCAATTTCCGCTAGCAACTTCTTTTCGGCATCTGGATGTCCGGCAACCAAGTAGACAATTGAAGACAATGTGAATGATGTAGTGGCTGATCCAGCCAGGAGATGCTCATAAGCAGCTGCACTAATGTAGTCTTGAGCGAAGACATTCTCGGCAACCATTTCCAACTCCCTTGCTTTCATTATGGGTGACAAGAAGTCCTTTGAACCACGTTCACTGTCTTTCATTCTCTTCACCACAATCTCATCAAGCCGGCCACTCAACTTCCGGTTAGTACGCTCAACTTTCCAGTTCATTGTCCCGGGAATTCTTTTCAAGAGCTGCCTAAATGGCTCCTGAAGAATAGAAACAAGTAGTTCCAGTTTAATTGAAAAGGAACCGGATAAATCCATCTTAAGCTGAGTAGTGGAACAGATGTGTTGGTTAATAAAACCCCAAGACTTGATCATCATCGTTGTTGTCTTTGATGTCAATCTTGTCGATTGATTCAATGATGGATTGTGGTTTAGAGAGGCCAAAGTTGACACTAGATGCAGCTTGTCCTATTACATCAGAGGCCAACCTAAGGGAGAGGTTAGAAAAGGTAATCTCTTCATCCTCTTTAAACAAGTCGAACTTTTGAGTTACGGACTCGACGAATGATTGCATTGTGGGCACAAGGCTGGCTAGGTGTGATGGCTGATACAATGATAATATAGTGTTTCACATCGTCAACCAGCTTGCATCCCTGCTGATAAACTTGATGACTTTAACTGACAGATGTAAATAAATTCTACGCTACTTTGGACTCATGTTCTACTTTGTACTCATGTTCATTTTAGTCATTCAAAACAGGTCTCAAATTCTACTGTCCAATCCAATTGGGTCACGCATGACAATTTTTCTGTCATTTATGGACATTTACTAATAGATGACATATGTTCCCCTTCATGGAGTTAGGATTTTCCATATATCATTAACTATTCCTCAAGTAACTGTTTACCCATCAAATATATGGTTGCATGGACGAAATTGGAACATAAAGACAAGTGGGGATTGGTGCGGTTCCGACCTTAAACCGGAACCAGAGTCGGAAAATACCAACGATTTGGTTTGGTGTTGTTTCACTTAAATTTATTATTAGAACCATACGATTTGGTCTACACCGGTTCGAATTCGATTCTTGCCGGTTTACGGTTCGAAATACTAAATTATTTGAACACCAAATCATCATATATTCAAATACATCTTCTAAAACTGATTTTGTAAAGAAGTAACAAATTCAAAGAAAACAGCATTGCAGAGATAATAAATAAAAGTAGTCCGTCATGTTTTTCTCCACAAATCCATCCAGGGTACGTTTTCAGTGCCATGAAATCAGCAGGTCCCTAATCAAACTTGTAATACGAATTCATATGCTAAGCTAAACCAGCTTGAGTTATTCAAAAATCGTACTTTGTTCTCCCATTCTTTAATATCAGGCACAACATATCTGGAATGTTGGAAACGGAACTGTAGAAGCTCCAAGACTCGAGCATCAGGCGTTTCCTTGATCCTTTGAAATGAACAACCTATATCCAGAATATATCACATAATCCACAATTCAGCATCATATTTGTTTCAATTTAGCAGGGAAAACAAAACAAAAAAACTCATCTAAAATCAACAACCTTGTTAACAGGTTTTGTGTTTTGGACATCAGCAATATACATTTACATCCAAGGGCATGCCATGAAATTGGCACAGAACTAGTGTCAACATTTGTTTTCAAGGTCAACGTTTCGGAGTAACAGCTAGGATAAGCTACATTACGTTGATCCACCCAACATGCCAACCATTAATTTATCTCTAATTACTGTGGACTATTAAAACTTCACAAAACTATCTTAAACCCCACAAGTCAAAGTTGTACCACGTAAATTATGCACTAGAAACAGAATTAGTCGAACTACTAATTAATTACCTGGACTATTAGCATGACAATAAATTTTTAAAGGGAAATTTTATTTAAACCCATGTAACCTCTTTCTACACTCAACTTAAATTTTAAATGTTAATTGTCTATTTTACCCTATTGCATAATTACTATTAAGTACAAAATGAAATTAATAATAAAACTTAAATTTCCCAATAAACTAGACACTATAATTAAACCCTAGCACCACCCTTTGTATTCTACGTCCATTCCGGCTAAAACCCTAATAGTTCTGATAGAGAAAAATAATTTTTTGGATAGTAATTTTGAAGTTTTGAATCCTCCAACTAAAGTATGACTCGATTTATGGATATTTTGTTTGTTTGCTTCTTCTTTGGATTAAATGTCATATTTATTATATTATATGTATCGTATTTGTTTTTCTCTGCCGTCTGTCTGCCTCCAAAACACCATTGCAAGGATTTTTTATTAGTAGTGCAAAGACATATAACTTGATTCTTGGTGAAAATAACGGTTGTCCAACCTCATAAACCTTGACCACTCTCCATCCAAATCCAAAGCATCAAGGTCAAATGTTTCTAACAAAGTGATGGACTGAACTGGAGCTTGCATTGCATTCTTTGGCAAATTCAAATCTATGGAATGATCTCTTGGATTCCAAGTCTATGGTTAGGTTTGGTAGCAGAAAAAAAAAAAAAAAACAGCCATGAAAATGCTACTCATATGCAATTATACAGGGGCAAAGGAAATTCATTAGGATCATGGGCTGGGTTAATCTACAGGAGGCAAAGAGAGAGAGCATAAAGATCTTTACATCTATGAAACATAAACTAGAAAAACAAATTTAATTCAAGCACTTGGAACTTATATGTTAAACTTTACCTTCACAGTACTAGTCCCGAACTCTAGATCAATGAGAATTTCATCACATACTATAGGAATTCTTCTTCCATTGAAAGGATGGATGACATGTTTTCCATGAAGGTGTCTATACCTTTCGTCATTAGGATGTATAGCAATGGCAGTATCACCAAGCATAGTTTCCACTCTAGTAGTGGCCACCACAATCTCACCAAAATCTTCCTCCAGAGTGTAAGCAAATGAAGTTAACACGCCAAATTCAACAGGGTTCTCATATCCAGAAACCCTGAGTAATGTCGTATCTCGAATATCAATATAATCCACCTATACAAACCCAAAAAAAATCCATAAATATATGCTGCAAAATAAGGAAGAATATGCAGGTAAAAGAAGAAGGCTGACCTCAATGTCAGATATTGCTATAAGCAACCCACAATCCCAATTGACCATGTGATTATCCCTGCAAACAAAACATACCAACGAAATCCAGAAAGCTTAGCAGCGAAAGTGAAGAAAAATTCAAAGACAAGAAGGTAATTTATAAACTTATAGATGTGGATGATTATATAAGGTAATCGGTGTACACGGTTGTCAAGTTTCAATCCTTATCCCAAAAAAAAAAAAAAAAACATTCAGTTAGAGACGTTATTTTATAAAGGAAATGAGTGTAAAGATAACTTTACATTTTGAATTGGGTTTGAAATGGTAGTTTAGGTAATAAATTTGGGTTTAAAGAGATATTAATTCTTTAATTAAAAAACATATGGGTGAAAAAAGTAAGTTGAGTGTAAAAGAGATTAGATGGGTTCAAATAAAATTTCTCAATTTTGAAATATGAACATGAAAGCATAAAACGGAAGATTATTGGTTCCATAGTGACCTTTTTGTGTAAAACTAAAGATAGATGCTTGATTTTTGTCGTCAATTGTGCCATTGCAGAGCAACCAATAAAAAAATGTTAATTAACCTTCAAATTGTGTCAGAAGGGGTAAACATGCTATGAATGTACTAATTTCAGCACAGTTAAACACTTTATTTTGCCCCAACAAAGGGAGGTAGGGTTGAAGATTTTTTCTCTTTAACTAAGTTCTAGGCCATAAACCATTTTAACTCGTTTAACAACTAAAATAACAAATCCCAGTTTCAACTTATTCATTGAACCCGAGTATAGCAGAAAGTGGTCAACTGATTCCTAGCAATTTTTTTTCAAATACAAAATCTTTACCGAAGAAGACTTCCACTTCCTGAAATTTCAAGGGTGAAGACTCTACAATCTACCCCACACCAAAGACCAAGCAAAGAAAACCATTTGGCAGTACTCCAGCTCAACAAATGGCCTTAAATGAAAGGGATAGATTAAAGCGAATGACATTTCTGTAGAATCTACGAACTTAAAACACCATTTTGAACCCCACAGACCATCTAAATCAAATGGCCCTAAATGCAGGACAAGAGTCATAGGACCCAATTAGACAATGTTAATCACACACATATAGTGCAGATAAAGGAGAATGGAAAACCAATGGAACTCAGCCATATTCCTAATCTGAAATCTCAAAGATGAGAAAAGTGATCGGATCATATTTATATATATTTTTACTTCGAATTCACTCATCTTTTCTTAGTTAGTTCTTTATATTTTGAGCTATTTACGTTATTTTTGTGTTTATAGGATTTGTTATGCAAAGAAAATAAAAATAGCACAAATGAGTTTTAAATAATAAACAGAAAAGAAAAAAACAAAAGCAGCAGGATGTGGAAAACAGACTGGTAGACAAAGAAGACAAAAGGAATAAAGAAAAGAAAAGAAAAAAATAAAAAATAGAAAGAAGATAGCATGGTGGGGAGAGACACGGAAAAGCACGAGTGAAATGGGACGGTAGTGGAGGAATGGCAAGAGGAAACGTGAGGACAGGAGAGACAGAGGGCAGAGACTGTTGGTGCGCCAGAAAGAAAAGAATAAAAAAAAAACTAAAAGGATAGAGAGAGGAGAGATACGGAGAGTGCGCATAAGGCGCGGGGAAAAGGGGAAAAAGAAAAGGGGAAATAGGAGATAGAAACCGGGGAGGAGAAGCAGAAACGGAGGGGGCAGCGGGAGAGACAGGTGGAAGGATGGAGGGCTGCCTTGGGCAGCGTGAGAGAGAGGAGAAGAGTGAGAAGAGCACGTACTGACTGGAGAGAAGACAGAGAAGGCGGGAGAGAGAGAAGACAGGGACTAGCGCAGCAGAGCACATCAGCAGGTGCAGGGAAGTCAGGAGCTAGGCAGATCTTCTTTTCTTGGTTTTATCTTCTCAAACTCATGTTTTACTTTTGGTTTAATTTGATAATAATGTGTAACTAAATTTATTTTGGCTAGAGGTTAATTCAAAGCCATGAATATATTTGTAATATGAATTGATTACCTTCAGTTGTGAATTCTGAGTTGTGATTTAATTTGCTTAACTGCTTGATTGATAACTTATTTTTGTATGTCGATTAAGAATGCATACTTAATTTACATGCATGAATTTGATGCTAGAATATAAGTGAATTTCACCTAATCGTTATGAACTTATATTCACAAGTAGTGAAGGTTGTTATCTACAATCGTGTTAAGTGAATTCTAGGCTGGATTAACATGCGTATTCCATAGTTATGAATGCCTAGTCAATGTTTATGATTTCCGTTGAACTTAATGATCTTTGTTGAATGTCTCTATCATGCGTATTCCATAGTTAGGGACTTTGATGAGGAATAATTTGGTTGTAATGCGTATTCCATTCAATCCAATGAATCTAGGGAAATCTAAGAGTTAATTTACGCGGACCTAATTAACTTGGAACATTGTGATTTACAATTTATTGAAAGAACAACTGAAAATCAATTTAGGTTGCAATTGTGTCATGTGTGGAGAAGAACCCTCTAGCTAGTCCGTCACCTATCCCTTCACCTTAATTTCATGCTTTTGTCAATTCTGTAATTTATTTAAGTTTAATTTACTTCTCGTTAAAACCAAATCCCCCCCCCATTATTAAATTATATTATTTAGTTAGTTTTCTTTGTTGTTAGTCTTTTAATTCAATTTCCGTCCATTTCAGTTCCTAGTGTCTAATTTGATTGTTTTCATTAATTTGAGTTATTCTAAATGTGTTTCGAGTTATTAGAGTTTTTAGCCTAGTTTTGTGTCCTTGAATCTTGTTTAATATTTTTAAATTAATTTAGAATAGATTAGCAATCCCTCCTAATCCCCGGCCTAGAACGATACCCTACTTACATCTATACTACAATTGTCAAAAAGAGGGTTTAATTTGTGTGTCAAGTAATTCTCGCATCAAAAAGATAGAGAAAATACCAAGGACGGAGGACGAAGAGTCGTGAGCTATCGCGGATGAGGGATGATGAGGGTCGTCGGAGAAAGCTGAGGTTGTGGGCTGCCTGAGGAATCACTAATATTTTTGGATGAGAGGCCGTGGTGATGGTCAGATATGCTACGAAATGGGGAAATGGGGATGTGAGGGGTGAGGCTGTGTGAGTGAGGTGAGGGTGAGGTGAGTGAGTAAACCCTAATTGGGATGGGATCCACTACTTTGCAACTTGGTGAAACTAATTTGTCAACCTATTATATCATGACATGTGTGTATATATATATAATTTATTTATTTATTATTAATAAAATGGTTCGGTTCGGTTTCGGTCGGTTCTTGTGCATTCAAAATCGGAATCGAAACCTGTTTAAAAGGTTCGATTCGGTTTTTACTCAAAGTTGACTTTCTGGTCAATACGGTTTTTTTCAATTTTTTTTTCATACGGTTTGATGCGATCTTGTGATTTGACGGTTTTTATGCCCATCCCTACTCTTTTCCTCTCTCTCTTCTCAATTCCTTCTATCTCTCCTTTCTCTCTCCCTTTCTTTTCCCAATCAACCGGAGCCTCTCTTTAACCCCAAAATCATCACCAAAAGGATCCGGAAAGGATCCTGTTGGCCAAAATTATATATATACTAAATGAGTAACTTTTCAGTTAATTTCCTTGGTGTCCTTTTCACTGTTCCTTCGCCAATGCATTTCCCTTTTCACCTTTTTTTTTCTGTGGACACTGTTTATTGTACAGTGTACATCCACCTTTGCCCATACTTCTTTCTTTCATTCCACTTCTCCCTAGAAGGAGGCTTCAAAAACTGGACTCTTCCAATTTTGTCCCTTCTTAGTTTTGTTTACTTCGTTTTTGCCACAACAGACATCTCTCTAAATTGTTTATATAATTTCGATTTTGCCTCTTCTCGACTCTCACTCTTTTGCTTCATTTTTGTCTCTCTGGGAAAGGAAAGATCTGGATGTACACGTGTGGGTCATCTAGGAAGGAAAAGAGCTTAAAGGTACGCGTGTTGATCATCTGGGATGGGAGGGAGTCCCTTTCATTCCACTCTCTCTCAAAAATCTCAAAAGTAAAAAGCTACCCACATGGAAGAGACATCCTAATTATCCCTCTAATTTTTTTTTTATATTATTTCCTATGCATGCCATTCCATAATCATTTGCCCTCTACTCTGTCTGCGCCCATAATTAAATACACTTGCTCTCTCTCTCCTTTCCTTCTTCTTTCTCTCTCTCTCTCCGTATGGGTATTTCCTCTCATCCAAGGAAGATGCAAGAACTGTCAGTAGAGCTTCCAACACAGACTATTCCTCACTGCGAACCATCAAAGCATTTTGGTCTGCAATTTGACCGCCTACAACCATCAGATGAAGAAAAAAGTTGGAATTTGAACGGTTGTTTAATCTGATTGGGTTTTTTTTTGTTTCAGGAAAATTGGTGTGCGAATTCGAGGGTTTTGTGTACAACCTTGCAAATCCCTTCTGATTAAGGTCTGTGAGTTTTTTTTTCTTTCAAATCTTTTTTTTTATCAATGATTTGTGTGTGCTGTTCCATCTAATTCGATTTTTCGTTTTAGGAAATCTTGGTCTTAAAGATTTAAGGTTTTCGTGTAGATCGATTGCTTGATTGATGTAAAATTAAAGTCCTCTGTTTTTTTCTCTCCAAAACTCTGTTTTACTGTGTTGTTTCTGTTGCAGGTGGCGGTGTTTGCTTGGTTTTGTGCTCTGGTCTCAGAAATTGAATAGTTTTTTTTCTGGTGGTTTCATGCTATCTTTAACTCCAAGTGGAAAGTCCATGGAGCAAAAAATGGACAATCACAATTATTATTGGTATGGATGACCCACACGTGTATTTGTTGGCTTTTAATTGGTGAAAAAATGGGATGTTTTACAGTGTGTGAATAATAATTAATTAATTAATCACATTTTAAAGTATTTGTTGGCTTTTAAAATGGGATGTACTATTCACACATTTCATTTTACTTTTCACACATCCCTTGATAATTTCTGTTCGTTGATCTTCTTCAATTCATTCAATCCAACAATCAAAAATTAAAAAAGTGTGTGAGACGTAAAATAAGGTGTGGATATCACATCCTTTAAAAATTTGTCTCGTAGATTTTTCTTCCGTTAAATCAGGCTTTTGTTGGGTGTGTGAGAATGTGAAAAGTTTGTCTCTTTGTATGATTTAAATGTTTTTTCTTGGTAGGCTTATATCAAAGTGTCAGTACCCACATAATGACTTTGGGCATTATTAAATGGGATGGTAAGTATTGATCTCCTTGCTTTTTTTTGTTTTTGTGTATTTTATATTGGCAAATAGGAACAATGGGGTTGTATGAAGAAAAGATAGATGGTCAACAATACACCCTGTTTTAGAATAGAAATAATAAATAAATATAAATATACACTTTTGTTATATGGTATGATTTGTTGTATAGAGAATTGAGAAATAAGTTAAAGACAATTTCCTGTTTTTGAGTTATAACATTTAGTACATATATAATGACATTGATTAGTTCACTTAAGAGTTTAATCCTTTGTTGGTTTATTTGTATTGTGTGCTTGAGAATGAAAGCAATGGATAGACTATGGAATTGATTTTCCTTATAATATCCACATAGATAAGGAATTGTTCCCTTTATTAGCAATTATATGAAGTAGGCATATTATGCAATACAAGTTCTACATTCATTTAGTAAATATCGAGTTTATTTTTATCGAATAGTGACATTCAGGTTTAAGCTTCTTAAATGTTTGTATTTTGAAAATTGATTTCAATGGTTTTTAATGAATTTTTTTTTTTTGCTTACATAATTGCTGCTTCAGGGACACCTACTACAGTGGGCACAACTTATGAAACTCAGAAGGAATGACGACTGCTCATTCGTCTTCCAGATGATCCCGTGCTTAATGATCATGAGTTTGAAAATCTTTGGTAATGATTTCAAAACAAAGAAATTTTTTGTTAGTATTCCATTGACACCAAAATGAGTTAGGGGTAAGGATCGGAGATCAGGAAGTACCAAAGAGCGACCGCTTTCGCTACCTTGGATCTATCTTGCAAAAGAACAGAGAATTAAATGGAGGCCTCAACCATAGAATACAAGCTGGATGGATGAAGTGGAAGAGTGCATCCGGTGTGTTGTGTGACCGTCGTATGCCACTGAAGCTAAAGAGAAAATTATATAGGACATCAATAAGGTCGGTGATGCTGTATGACACGGAATATTGGGCGGTGAAGCATCAACACATACATAAAATGGGTGTAGCGGAGATGAGAATGCTTTGTTGGATGTGTGGGCACACAAAAAATGATAAGATTAGGAATGAGGATATTCGAGGTAAAGTAGGAGTAGCCAAAATTGAAGGAAAGACGAGAGAAAATCGATTACGATGGTTTAGACATGTGCAAAGAAGGCTTACTAATGCTCCGGTTAGAAGATGTGACTACGGGATAGAGGTCTAGGGCCGAAGGGGTAGATAAAGACCTAGGAAAACTTTGGAAGAGACTCTAAGAAAAGACTTAGAGTACTTGGATCTAACGGAGGACATGATATAGAACCGAGCGCAATGGTGTTCTAGGATTCATATAACCAACTCCACTTACTGGAAAAAGGCTTTGTTGTTGTTGTAGTATTCCATCGATAATTAATGAAGGTTTGTGGTAATTTTTTTTCCTCTGTTAGATGTGTTCTAATGCTATGTTTTCCATTGCACAATTGATGAATTGTTCACTTATCTTTCAAACATAATCTTCCATACAATTTTCAATCGATCGGATTGAATTTCCTAGTGTGTCCATTCTACACTCTATCCTCTGTCTCTTCTCTCATTTCCTCCTGCCTCTCCTCTCTCTCCCTCCCTTTTCCCAATCAACCCGAGCCTTTCTTTAACCCCAAATTCTGGCCAAGCCTGCTGGAATTGGACCTCAATCCAAGAGATTAGTGAACAGTTCTTGGGCGTCCACGGAGTGCAAGCATGGTGAACTTCGTCGGTTGGTTGTGGCAGCTTTTTGGTGCATACCGTTTCGTTCCTGCTATGTGGGGAACATCATTCCTTTCTTGATTAGAATTATTAACTTTTATTGGTATTCATGGGTGATAGCTATTCTTTGTTTGACATGGTTAATCTTGGTTGGGAAATTTGTTCTAATCAGCCGCAAAACATGGTCGAAATTTTGTTGTCCTTGAAGTTCATGACTTGGAATCGTCGGGGTTGTTCCCGGCCAGGATATTTTTAGTCAAGCTTCCTTATTAGATTGAGTAAATTTGTCATTTTCTGTTGCATCTTATGGAACTCTATGTCGGATAATTTAAGAATACTAAAGTTCGGATATGTTTTTAGATGAAAGGTGACCTTTCTTTTTGATATTGAAGGGGTGTTGCATAAAATTTGATAGCTGCACACAAGTCAATAACATGAAACATGGAGGGTGTGTACATCCATCCTTCTCACAGAGGTTTTGAGTTTCATATGCATAGTCAATTACTCTTATTTTCTTATTTGTCCTTCATCGTACTTTCAAAGTTGTTATTGACCAAAAGAAAGAATTAAGTAGTTGATTATTAATCAACTGATGATAAAGTAACTTATTTTGTAAAATGTTGGTAATTCTAGTTCTGTAGACTATGTTAGTTATGGAGATATGTGACCTTTTCTGAATTCATTTGAAGAATATTACAAGGGGGCACTATGGTGTTGAAAATTAATTTGTTGAAAGATGATGGGAAGCCAAGGGTTATGGCTACTCTGAATAATAATAATAATAACTAATCTTTGTAACCGGAAAACCTGATTTAATTATTTGTTCTAGGAATGTCATGGGTGATTATATTCTAGTACTGAGGTACGTGACTTCTTTGTGAAAGCTCATGTTTTATGTTCAGTTCATCATTTCGTGTCTTGGAAAAGTTGAACAGATCAAATAATGTAGAAAGTTTCAGTTTTCTTGTTGAGATGCAATTGTGTTCTAGTCATATGCAAAAGAAAAATGTATCTCACTAGCAAAATGCTTTTCAAAAGTAAAATGAACATCCAATGTTGACTTGTTCTCTGCATTTTGCATAAGTATGGGGACCGAGGTGTGACAATAGATGTCAAATGGTATTGTATCACATATTTGAATGTAGTTGATATTTAATTTCTTTTTTCATTTTGCTTATAAGTTTCATTCAATTCAGGATTCATTTTGATATGCGGAGTCTTTCAACACATCTATATGTATCTAATGACTGCCTAAAAGGATGAATATACGTTTGAAATAGTTGCATTGTTTTGTCTTTAATTTATAATGTTGATTTCTTGGTTGAGTTTCAGCATGTAACTGATCTGCTAAGAAGAGAAACCAAGGTACGCCTCACTGGTAAGGAATTTTGGTCTCATAGAATTAAGATCTGCTAAATATAAACTTATTCAATGAAAAATTTTCAGTCTCATTTTGGGGTTTGGTGTTGTGAACCCTTTTGTACATACAAGTTTCATATATATATATATATATATATATATATATATATATATATATATATATCTTTACATGCAGGTGGCATGAAGGTGAAAGTTGACAGAGATGAGTCTTTCCCCATATGCTGCCATGCTTGCAGTAGATGTTTCACAGAGATGTAAGGTCTTGTTTTGCTTTCAATATATTGTTCCTAGCTCTTCGTGTTTTCTTTTGACTATGTTTTGTAAAATTTCTTTTTCAATTCAGAAAAAGTTGTGGGACTCTTTAAAAGTTATATGCAAGAAGGAATCGTGGTTAAGCGAGCTTCATTGCATGAAGAACTTGGGTCCAATGCCTGCAGTGGGAGGATGGGATTCTGAAGGACTTGATAGTAAATTACGTGGGATTTGTTGTAAATAACTGAAATACATGTATATTGTGTGTGTCATCTCTGATTTTATGAAAATTTTAAATCTTTTGTTTTATTTCAAATTTTGACATTTTTATTTTTCTTTGAAACATAACCTTAGTGGGCACAATTTGAAAACTATGCTCTATATGATTGTCTGTCATTTGACATGGCTGTCCGAATTGTGGCAGAAATAGGCAACCTATTGTGCTTAGCATTTTGAGCACCAATATTCATATTGTGCCCTATAATCAATGGGCATGCCCATAAAGGACACATGTTGTTTTAGTTGCTATTTTATTGTTTTATGGGCACGTATGTTGGTGCCCTTTAACTTCAGAGAGCACAAATAACTTATTGTGCACAATGGCCAATTTTTTGTAGTGAAACTATTGGTGAACATCAAAGGCAGTTCCATACTTGCTGCCGCCGATCGGTTTCTAAATCCTGGTTGCTCAGAGTCAGAGAGCTATGGTTGCTTTAGTATTTGCAACTCTTTAAAAGTATCTTAGATGAACTCTTACAAAAGTGTATGGTCCTTGTCGCCATATAAATTTTTATTTTTTTATTTTTTAGTTGTTTTGTTCTATTCGGCAGTTGGCGACAGATTGGAGATTCTATAACATATAAAAAATAGGTAGAGTTTGTCTCACACCCTTGAGGTTTCGACTTATTACACCCATACCCCTAGGTTTAATTTATTAAGGTAACATTTGTTGTAAACAGTGGATATGTTTGCCCACAGGTGTATAGTAAAGTTTCACATGCTAATAGTAAATTTTGTAAGTTTTCGTTGAGGTGGCTCTATAAATAGAGCACTTCGGTTGTTCAAAGTGTGACGAACATAAAAAAGAGAAAAGAAGAAATATAATACTTTCAGTATTCCTCATTTTCTAATATTTGCAATACTTTTGTGGTGGTTTCGTCATCATTCTTAGCAAAGGTTATTTCTCTAACTTTTGCCTATTTATAACACGTTATCAGCACGACTCTTTAACCATTTCTCATTTTCTCTTCGCCGAAAGAAAAGAAAAGAAAAAGTTCCCTCTAAGGATTTTGCTGTTCTTCTTCTTCCTCTGCCTCAACTGCTGGATATACCCTCGTGAAGAATTGTGTGCACCATGTTTACTTCTAGTTCTCAAACTAACAGTTACTTATATATTTGATTTCTTGTTTGGTGTAGATATTGACTACTAAACCACTGATTATTTAAAAAATCCAAGATGGTGCGGTACTATCGCCTATCTTGGACTGCAAATCTAATTTTATCGCAATTTTAGGTGGTGTGGAATAATCACCCACCATGCTCTGCATATTTAAATTTTATAGCAATTTTAGGTGGTGTGGAATAATCACCCACCATGCTCTGATATTTAAATTTTATTGCAATTTTAGGTGGTGCGGTATAATCGTCCACCTTGCTTTGCATATTTAAATTTTATCGCAATTTTAGGTGGTGCGGTATAATTGTCCGCAATTTTAGGTGGTGTGGTATAATCGTCCACCCTGCTTTGCATATTTAAATTTTATCGCAATTTTAGGTGGTGCGGTATAATCGTCCACCTTGCTCTACATATTTAAATTTTCCTGCTGTTTAAAGTGGTGCGGAATAATCGCTCATCCTATAGTTGTTTCGATGAGAATGGTGTGGTACAATTGCCCGTCTCATTAATCATGTAAATCTTGAGCTTGAAGTTTCGAGTACTTATCATTTTAGCCTGAGGATCAAAAATTTGTAAGAACTAGAAGTTCTAACAATATATTCCTCCAGAACACATATTATTGCAAGTTCTTACACACCTCATTTTTCTTTCAGAAAAGAAAATGGTAAACTTGGTAAAGCTTGATTTTGCTGCCCTGGACATTACTGGGAAGAATTACCTTACCTAGGTACTGGATACCAAGATCCATTTGGAAGTAGCAAATCTTGGAGATACCGTCAAGGAAGAGAGCAGCTCATCCTCTCAAGATTAGGCAAAGGCCATGATTTTTATTGGTCGCCATCTTGATGAGGCACTAAAGAGCGAGTACTTAACGGTTGAAGATCTGTTAACCCTCTGGAAGGCCTTAAGAAACAGATACAATCACCAGACAACGGTGATTCTTCAAAGAGCTCGCTATGAATGGACTCACCTAAGGATCCAGGATTTCAAGTCAGTGGATGAGTACAATTTTGCGTTGTTCAGAATTACCTCTTAGATGAAGCTATGTGGGGATACTATTACTGAGGAGATGTTATTGGAAAAGACTTTCAACACATTTCATGCCTCTAACATGCTCCTACAGCAGCAGTATAGAGTGCGAGGCTTCACTGAATACAACCAGGTGATATTTGTGCTCCTAGTACCTAAACAGAACAATGAGCTCCTGATGAAAAACCATAATTCCCGACCTACTGGATCAGCACCGTTCCCAAAAGTGAATTCTGCTTCCCTTAAAAGGAATACCATATCCTCCCATGGCAATAATTATAAACGAGGACTTGGCCACAAGCAAGGCCGATGGAACGGGAAAGGCAAGAACCATGATATCCAGTTTCACAACCAGGTTCCAAGGCATAATCTAAGCATGAGCTTTAAAAATGCAAATCGCCAGAAAGGAAAAGCTCATATGAACACTCCTAGAAATTCTGAAGGAGGTTGCCATATGTGTGGTGGCAACGGACATTGGGCGCGTACTTTTTGCACCCCAAAGCATCTGGTGGATCTGTATCAAGCCTCCTTCAAGGAGAAGGGTGTCGAGATCAATTTCCTCGATCAGGCTTAACCAATGGAAACACCTGATCCAGTGACCAATTTATCAGAACAGTTAAACACAACCCACTTGGAGGCTATAGACTTTATTAATGAAAGAGGGAATGAAGTTTATGGGTCCGATTGAATTATTTATGTTTAATGTACTCTTGTTATTTGTACTTGTGGTTTACTGCTCGCATTTTCAATTCAATAAAAGTAGTATTCCAGTATGAATAAACTGCTTTTTCTTTACTCAGAGAACATGGATAAAAATTATGGTTATTCTCAAAACAAAAGCAATGGTGGAGACTTTTGTCTTGCAGACAGCGCAACCATGCATTCAATACTTCGAGATCGAAAATATTTCTCAAATTTGGTACTTGCAAAAGTAAAGGTAACAACAATATTAGGGCAATCAGATGTAATTGAAGGCTTAGGAAAAGCCCAGATTATGTTACCAAATGGAACAATATCGTCCATAAAGAATGCATTATATGCTACTCAATCCATTTGAAATTTGTTGAGTTTTAAAGACATACATCTAAATGGATACCACATTGAAACGAAAAGTGTAGAAAATGTGGAATATTTATGCATTACCTCCAATGATACCCAGAAGCGTATATTGGAGAAGTTGCATGGTTTATCGAGTAAATTATATTATACATACATAAAGACAGTTGAGGCATATACTGTTATGACCCAGAAGTTCATTGATTCAAAGGTTTACATGCTTTGGCATGACCGTCTAGGTCATCCAAGATCTACCATGATGCGTAGAATCATTACCAACTCTAATGGACATCCATTATTTAGCATACACATTGATGTCTCAAATGATATCCCTTTCAAGGCTTGTTCCTAAGGGAAGTTGGTAATTAGACCATCACAACTAAAGGTTGATGATGAATCCCCATCATTTTTGCAAAGAATTCAAGGGGATATTTGTGGACCTATTCAACCACCTTGTTGACCATTTCGATATTTTATGGTTTTGGTTGATGCATTTAATCGATGGTCACATGTTTGCCTATTGTCTACTCAAAATGTAGCTTTTGTGAGACTTCTTGCTCAGATAATTAAGTTGCGAGCACAGTTCCCAGATCATCTTATTAAGTCAATCCGACTTGATAACACTGGTGAATTTACGTCTCAAACCTTTGATGATTACTGCATGGCATTGGGCATTGATGTTGAACATCTTGTTCCTCATGTTCATACTCAAAATGGTTTAGCAGAGGCATTTATCAAGCGGCTTCAATTAATAGCACACACTTTTCTCATGAAAATGAAATTGCTAGTCTCCGCATGGGGACATGCCATCTTACATGCAGCATCATTGGTTCAACTAAGACCCATAACCAACCACCAATACTCATCAATACAACTCGTGTTTGGACATCAGCCAAACATTTCACATTTACGAGTTTTTGGTTGTGCTGTTTATGTGCCTATTGCACCTCCACAATGAACTAAAATGGGACTTCAGCGCAGACTGGGAATTTATGTGGGTTTTGATTCACCTTCTATCAATAGATATTTTAAACCTTTGACGGGTGATATATTTACAGCTCGTTTTGCGGATTGTCATTTTGATGAGACAGTCTTCCCGTCGTTAGGGGAAGAAAAGGCTGTTCTAGAAGAACGGTAATAGCTAACATGGATTGTTCCCACCTTATCTCATTTTGATCCACGAAGCACTCAATGTGAAAATGAAGTGAAAATGATCGTTTATCTTCAATGTATTGCTAATCAAATACCAAATGCATTTAACGATGTTTCGAAAATGACAAAGTCACATATACCAACTGCAAATGCACCTGCAAGAATTGATATCCCTGTTGGACAAAATAAAGTGGTAGCGAATGATTTATTTAGTGCATGCCTGAAGCGTGGTAGACCCTCAGGTTCAAAAAATTCAGCCCCTCGAAAGAGAAAGATGAGGGCGCAGTTGAACCCGAATGAAATCATTCAGGAAAAGAAAATGAATGATACATCCATAATTCATGATTCTGTACTTCCAGAAAAAGAAAATGTCCTTGATGAGACACCTGTCCCTGAAGAGACAGAAGTAAATGAAAGCAAAGAAATATCCATAAATTATGCACGTACTAATGAATTGTGGGATCGAAATGAAATAATCATTGACGACATGTTTGCATTTACAATAGCCACTGAAATTATATTAAGTGATGATATTGAGCCCCGCTCTATTGATGAATGCAGACAGAGACAAGATTGGCCTAAGTGGAAAGATGCAATCCATGCAGAATTAAATTCCTTGGAAAGAAGGTGTTTTTGGACCAGTAGACCAAACCACGCCTGGTATAAATCCTGTGGGTTACAAA